TTTTTTTTTTTCTGGTGTTCATTTTTTTTTTTTTTTCTGAAGGAAAAGTCTCATTTTATTTCATAAACCAGACTTAATAAAAACACAAAGCAATAACAGAGCTGTCTTCTGGTTGCTGTATCCTCCAGCCTTGATACTTATTTAAGACAGCAATTCCCTTCGTGTAGTGAATTTATTCCTGGCTCAGCTTAGCAGTAATGGAAACATTAGCAAAAAAAAGTAAATTTTCCTTTTTTTTTCCCCTCCAGAAAGGCGCTGTCCGTTGTACAAAAGGCATCGGGGGGCTCTGGGTGAGACACAGGCTCAAACCCGAAAGTTGCCAGGTGCTTGCCAATACGTATTTTATTTCCCAATGATCAAACCCTGCATAGAGGCTGTACTGCACCACCCTTCTCTCCATCCATCCATCATGGAGCAGTTTCCTAGAGGTTGGGGGAGCAGCACCCTTTAGGTTGCTGGAGGTAGCCAGAGATTCAAAATTCCCTTTCATTTTGCTCTTCTGTGCATGTCAGAGAGATTGTGGTTATCCTCTACTCTTTCGTGGCCTGACGGTTTCTCTCTCCCTTCTTCCCCTTTTCTTTCTCCAGTTCCAGTTCCTCCAAAATCTGTTACTTCTTTGATGATGAATAAAGATGGCTTCCTGGGTGGAATTTCAGTCAATACCGGCGAGGTGTTTTGCTCTGTACCTGGCCGCTTGTCTTTGCTTAGTTCAACTTCAAAGTACAAAGTAACGGTGGGAGAAGTTCAAAGACGCCTTTCTCCTCCAGAGTGTCTGAATGCATCCCTCCTAGGAGGAGTTCTTAGAAGGTAAGAGGCTGGGGCGAGTGCGTGAACATGCCCACATGTGTGGGCGTCCATGCATGCACCGGGAATATTTGGTCTACGGTAAAGATGATTGCAAATGTGCATTGAACTTACTGTCATAGCATGTGTGGGTCACGTTCAAGGGTAAGGTGAAAATATGCTGTTTGCAGACACTGAGATGAATGTATGGAGACTAGAGAGAGATTTGGCCTTGTGCCTTTTCTACCAAAGCATCCCAAAAGGAAAGAACTGAGACAGGGACCTGCACACACTTTCTATCTTTCCTCCTTCTCCTCACACTTCTCTCTTAGCAAATGGACAAAATAAAAAGCCATGATGGGCATGTTGCAGTTAGATGTTGCAGGACGAACTAGATGTATTTCAGGACCTGATGTATTTCTAGGGATTTCCTAGATAGATCCATGAGGCTTCCACTATAGGGCCCTAACCTTAAGGCAATTAACACTTCATCACGCAGGACACTATTGATTAATAGGCAACCTCTAAGGTAGGTAAGTACCCGCCATCAACAGATAGCTTTGAAGGTAGGGAACTTAGTGCTTCATCTAGAGAAGGTTGTTAGAGGAATTGCTCCCAGTTGGTCTTGAGGCCTTTGCTGTTTAATATTTCTGCAAATCACCCACTAATGTCCCAGTGGATTTTCCTCAAGACCTCAAAACAGTTGGTTTAAGTGTTACTGAGGGTAAAAAGAGGCGAGGGACAACCCAGAGGCCTGGTTGCCACTCCAGCATATCAAGATGACATCGTGCATTTAGGGTACCAGCAACAAGAATTTAAGCTCCCGAGGTCATCAGCTGGCAAGAGTAACAAGAGCGAGGCCTTTAAGCTCTTGGCAGTGAGTGAAGTGTGAATTGCCAGCACGCCTTGCCTGTAAGGTGAGCTAAGGCTCTGCCTCCGGTCAGAACAGGGAAGAAATCATGATATGGTATGAGGTACCAGTTCCCCCAAGCCACTGGAAAGCTGAGAGGGGCTAAGACTTGGTTTTCTACATGTGAGGTATACGCCAGACTGGAAGATAAAGCATAGCTATGAGACAAACAAATTCAATGAGTTTGGCCCTGAATAAATTTGAGATCATGTTTAAAAAGTTGCTAATCTTAGAGGAGGAAATATCTTGCCATCAGACAACGTTGACTCTAAGGTGTTTTAAAATGAAGCTGTTGTTTGGGTTCGGGTATTTTTTTCCCCCCATGTAAAAAAATCTGTGATGATGGCAGGGGCTCCAGCTCCGTGTCTAGAGAGGAGGGGGAAAGTCCTGCTACATGCAGTCAGTCACCCAAAAATACACGTGAGAATTAGGGTCTCCTAAAATAGATGCTGTTCCACGTGAATGTCTGTAATCAATGTTTAGCTGTGATCCTTGCCAGGGAGAGCAGCAGAGATTTTTACTTACAGCTGCTAACCTGCCTGCTCATTTTGTACGACTACAAATGGAGCAGGGAGAACATCTGAGAGATGCACTGTAGAAAATATAATTATCAAGGTAAAGAAGCATCATTATTGAACTTCAGTGGATTTCTGGAGATGGCCCAAGCCATAATCATTGGCTGCTGCTGACTTCAGTTCCTATCTTGGATCTAAATTTTAGACAAGCTTTTGGTTCGGGGCAGATGAAATATAGAAACCTGCTCTCTTGCAATCCTGCCATCTAGCCCTATTTACTTTGATATAAAATAGTGGGAAGCCAGTCTGGCTTCTCGGTCGTCTCTGGTTTCCTTTGGCTAAGCGTGACTGCTAATTCTTAAGCAGATTTTAAGTAAGAACTAAGAGATATTTGGGACAGACTCTGATCTTAGGCGCCCAAACTCTCCCTGATTTCGCCCCTGGGGGGTTACATATGTATCGGCGTCCGAACAGTAGCTCTGTATTTGCCACTTAGAGCTCACTCATCCTTTTATTGCCCTTATCAGTAACCTCCGACAGATATTCAAAAATCTCCCTTCAGGCAATCGGGTCCC